ACAATAACTTTTCTCCAAAGAAGAGAATTGTCGAGCCACATCCACCATCTCTGTTGCTCAACACATCATGAACCACAACTAATGGGGATTTGGGCAGGTGGCAAAACAAACCTAATATGACGGGAATCAGGGTGGGAGGCAAACACACCAGATACATAGCGTGGCAAGGGTACACGGGTGTTGGTAGGAACCGGGATACAGATGGTGATGGTGGCACTAGGTGACAAGCAGCTGAAGTTGTTGGCAGCGATCGGAGAGAGACAACGCAGGAAGATGACACGGAAGGAGATAATGACTGGCTCGTTTGATAGTTGGCAGAGCGAGATCCTGAGTGATTGGGGGTGTGGACCTGCCTTGAAAATGGGCATTGAGAGGTGGAAGCTCTCAGCGCCAACTTTAAACTTGCAGAACTCCGGTTGTCTTGTAGCCAGCTTGTAGCTGTAATAAACCTGCCTTTGACCAGCATTCCAGCGCGTTCAAGTCCTTTGTGGCACCTCAGCACAAGTGTGGCCAAGCAAGCTGAACTGGAGTTCACCAATTGACCTGAGGACAATGATAATTTGTTCAGAAGTAAATATTTCCATAGAAAGAATAAAAGAGTGAATCAATTCAGGACAAAAATATAGTTTCTGAATCCATAAAATCTTTAATTAGTGAAAACTGTACATGTTTACATAAACTAATTGTTATTTTGGAAAAGTCCTAAGAAGAACTGCCTACTGAGAACTGTCTACATAGCTTCTTGCTCATTTGGATTTAGAATTTAAAGATCTAAGCAATTCCATCTGGTAATAAAGTGCTTCTGTGATTTGCCAAAACAATCCTCCTAGGAAAAAGGAAAAAAAAAAAAAAAGGTCAAAGAGCACATCTCTGAAATCCAGAGAGAATGTTTTCCAGTAAATGCAGCTGCACACAACATACTTTAAATTAAAAAAGCCCCAAATATCATATGAGAACTGTAATTCTTTACCACTCTAGTAAGAAGATATCAAGGGCTTCCCAGAAATTGATTATCACTGGCAAATTTCCATCCCTTACTCAAAAGCCATATTTACAATATAGCTTTCCAAAGGATTCAGGAGAGTAGCCATGAAGAAAAAGATTAATGACAAAAATCCCATTTTAAACAAAATAATTAAAATTAGGTACAATATACTATAGACATATGATATGAGAACTTACATTTGAGTAATCAGAATACATGGCTAGGTACATAATACATTTTCATCCTATAGGTCAGTGCTTTCCAACTGTGGCCAATTGAAAATAAGTGGACTTCAGTTCCCAGAATTCTTAACAAAGGCAATGGCAGCTGTGGAATCCTGGGAGTTGAAGTCCATATATTTGGAAATGGCCAGGGCTGGGAACCCCTACTATAGGCAAATGAAAGGGCTACTGGCTTTAGGACTGAAATAGTCAATCAACATGAGGAACAGCAAAAATCTTTCTTTCCTGTACACCTGGTGACAAATTAATTTTGTACCATTAAGTCACTGTTGACTTGGCACAGTGGTGCAGTGGCTTAATAAGGCTGTAACTGCTGGCCAGAAATGATCTGCACTCCAATGGTTTGAGCCTGGTTCCGCAAGACAGGGTGAGCTCCTGTCTGCTCCCTGGCTCCTACCCACCAGCAGTTTGAAAACATGCAATACTGCAAATAGATAAATAGGTACCACTTTGGTGGGAAAACTAGCTGTGTTCATGTGTGCTGAAGTAAAAGCCAGCACTGTACCTGGCCAGATGTGAGACAATGCAATGCAAGGCAGGCAAGGAAATGCAAAAAACGGTGGAGGAACCAGAAGAGCCAGTTAGTCAGTTGCTGCAGGCTAGTTCACCCCTATGGGGCACCAAGGATAAGCACACAAGCACGGAAAAGAATGAACTAGCAATTTAGGCGGTCAGGACTGCATTATGTCTAGCATTTGTAGATTTCCCTGACATTGTATGCTGTATGCTAAATAAATAAATAACTGTTGATTCTTGGAGTTCATATAGATAGACTACCTCTAGGATGATTTATGCCAGCCTGACTTTTCCAATTTTCCAATGGAGTACTTAACCACTGCTGCAATCAATCATCTTGCTATTGATTATTGTCTTGTCTTTTTTTATCCTTCTTTGCATAATGTGTCCAAAATATGATGAGTCTGGTAATTTATTGGTAATTCTTAGAAAAATTGATTTGTTTTATTGTCCATTTGTATCCTTTCTTGCCTAACTATCGCATGCTTCAGAGTTTTTTTCAGCATCAACATTCAGTAGCATCAATACTCTTCATATTCTGAGTCTTCTTTAAGTCCAACTCTTGCCTTCCAAGAGTGTCACAGGAAAAAATAATTTCCTGCATGATTCTGATCCTTGTAAGTATAGACAGATCCTGCCATGTAAATATCTTTTCACTGTTATTATATCAATTGCTAGTCCATGGCATATTTCTGACAGTGACTCTAGGCAGTTTGCAAGCAATAAAAACACTATTTAGGAAATAATAATTTAAAAAACCCAATACCCAGCCCCACAACTATACACAGTCAAATGAACCTGTTGGCAAAACCAAGTCTTCAGGGCTTTACGAAAGAGTGTCAAAGTGGGGGCCAGTTTAATCTCTGTGGGGATGATGTTCCAAAGGAAGGGAACCACCATGAGAAGATCCTTCTTCTGGATTATGCCAGATGCATCTCCTTAATGGACAAGACTCGCAACATTCCTTGCCTCCCCTCTCTAGGTGGTCAGGTGGATGTGACCGGCAAGAGTCCCTCGGATAACCCAGTCCCAAACCATGAAGGGCTTTAAAGATGACAACCAGCAGCTTGAATTGCACTTGGAAACAAATTGACAGCTTCCACAAGAGAAGTAACCCATATGCACACCTAGCTCTGCACAAAACCATGTGGGACATTGAATTTTGAACCAAGTGGAGCTTCTGGATGCCTTTCAAGGGCAGCCCCATGTAGAGCCGTGTGTTGTAATAGTCTGGCTAAATTGGCATGATGACACGGAATTTTTAGAAAGCTAATTAAGAATCCCAGTTTGGTGTTGTGGTTAAGGCACTAAACTGGAAACTTAGAGTTCTAGTCCTACTTAGGCTTATTTGCCAGTCCTTCTCTCTTAGCCCTAAGAAGCAAGCAAGGGCAATCCATTTCTGAATTTTTGCCAAGAAAACTCCAGAAACCCATCCAGGCAGTTGCCTTCAATGACTTGAAGGCACACATGCATATAATCATGTCTACAGTCTAATATCTAAGATATATTAGCTAATACAAGGGTTTGTGAAAATGTTATATATCCACATTTCTTTACTTTCTTATTTCCAGCTTTTAAAAGTCAAAGTATTTGCCTCAGCCAATCTGGTTGGTTTACATTATTCTGTTGATGGGAATGAATTTAGATGAATGATTCACTTATTCAGTATTTTTATAATCTCACATAAAATTCCTTTAATTCCTATTATGATTGAATTGTGGTCACCACCTTTTTTATGAAGTGAAGCAGAAACACCAAGATAACATATTAAAAGGAAGTGATGAGAACCTCAGATTGAAGTAGATTATGCCCTCAGTGGATAAGTGAAAATCCACTAATGGGAGAACTAGAAAAACAATGATGCATACATCAAAAACTGAATGGTTATTAGATACATCATGTGTAAAGGTATCATAAAATGTTATTTGTACATGTACATATATTTTGACTTGTAATACTTATGGTACATTATTTTAACTTGTGGGAAACAGCATCCTTGGTGTTCAGATTTGTTAAGAGGAACTAATTCTAAGACATGCTACTGGCATTGCTTTGCAATGGCTTTTCTCATTTGTCTTGTTGGTTGATGGTTTATTTATATTTGGATCTTTCTGCAATCTAGATGATTATGGGATGTTAATATGGTATAGAAAACACTATATCAATGGAAAGCATGCAAGTCAGCATAGAATCAGATCTCAGTAATAATGGCAATTATCTCAAAATCAAGTAAAGCAGAACCTTTCAGAACAGCATCTTTCTGAGATGCTGGAAGGGACATCTCAGGAAGGGAAACTGCTCAATCTTCAAAGGTGGTTTTTCCAGAGAACTGGCCCTGTTGCTGAGAAGGCTGAAGCCTAATGAAAATCTTCTGCCACCCACGAACCCTGAGAAAGCAGCTAGTGTCAGCAATTGCTCACAATAAGAGCAGACCAGAGGCTGTCATAGTCTATGACAAAGCAAATGAGAAGTTTAATCAACCACACAATTCCCACACAATTGAAGAAATGGATGAGAAGGAAGCAATGTCTTTAAAAATATCTTTTATGTAAATATAGTTGTTTCTGTCACTTACCATCTAAACTCCCTGAGTCACTTGGGGTTTAATGACTTTTTTTTCTATAGGAAGTTTTTGCTGAAACATTTTGTTTTTCAGTTCTAATTTATGCGGCAATCTATTCTGGAGATCTGTGATTTCAGCAAGAGTTTTCTTTCACTTTTTATTCTATCCCAACTGTATTTGGATTGTGGAAAGTAGATAACTCTATACATAGAAATACACAGTGAAAATTTTGTGGATTCAGCCAATAAAGCTTGAGAATATAATGATAATCTGAGGGAAATTAACACATTTTTCAATTAATTCAATAAATGACCTACTTCAATGAAGGTCTCCTATGAATGACAGATCTTCAACTTCATTGAAAATCTAAATACCAACAACCAACGGATTTTCACTGGTGAAAAGAAACAGCATCACACACACAAAAAAGGGAACTTTGTATATATCTATATGTAGCAGTCATTTCCCCTCTTTTAGGCAATATGCTTACTCTTGGCAAGTATTGATTCAAACTCACACACACTCCCCACCACAACATTGCTACACCATGTGGAAAAGGTATTCTTCAAGTGACTTTTCTAACAAATGTTGATTGGGAAATGTGGGGAAATTTCCCTTGCGTTTTCTCTGGGGTATTTAAGACCATCTATTCTTCTGTGTGTTGTAGTTATCTGGATATTTCTAAGGCCAGACAATGAGGAGCTACAGGTAAGAGAAAATGGGGTTGTTGTTGTTTTTTAAAGTTGAGGTGGAAGAGAAACCAGTTGATTGCATTGTTAGGTAGCCAGAGTAGTAGAAAGATAGGGAGTTTGACTATTAAGTGGAAGGCAGCTTGATTATTCTTAAACGTTGTAATAAATCATATGTGGAGAACTTTCTGGAAACATTTATGGGAATGCACATTTTCAAAAATTAAAAATACCCTGCCTATAAAATTGGATTTAATTCAAGAAGCAATAGACTCTTTTTATTTTTGTTTCTTTTGTTCGTATACAACAAAAGGAAAATTATATGGAATATAACAATGTTTGTTTTTGTCCCTTATAACAAAGTGGAGGCTAGTTCCTCTTCCAAAATATAGTTTCATCTACATGGTTGTTATGAGCTGACATACACAAGAGATACAAGATATAAGTAACGAGAGAAATAGAAATGAAATTGGTTCCAAATCTCTAGCCTCATAAATGACTGGCCCTCACTTAGTATTATCCAGAATTATCAGACAGCATGGTTAAACACTGTGCTGATTAGAAGATTTGGGAATGGAAAATTCAACACATCTGGAAGATTCTAGATTAGAGGAAGTCTGGTGACTTGATAGTTGTAGATTAGGGATTCCTCACCATCATCTCAAACCACCTAGGATATTCTTTATCAGTGTTGCTGACCTTTGTTCACCCCCCAAAACCCGTTACAAAGCAATGAGTTATTTATTTATTTATATATATTTTTATTTTGTTGAGTACATATTAGATAATATATATAAGTATAAGCATGAATTGAATACATAAAATGAATACAATTAAAGGGAACATTAGGACAGGGACAGTAGGCACACTTGTGCTCTTATGCACGCCCCTTACAGACCTCTTAGGAATGGGGTGAGGTCAACAGTAGACAGTTTTAGGTTAAGGTTTTGGAGGTTTGGGGATGAGACCACAGAGTCTGGTATGCATTCCAGGCATTAACAACTCTGTTACTGAAATCATCCTTTCTGCAATCGAGTTTGGAGAGGTTCACTTTGTTTATATCTATTGTGTATTGTTGTGGTTGAAGCTGAAGTAGTCATTGACAGGTAAGACATTGTAGCAGATAATTTTATGAGCTATGCTTAGGTCATACCGAAAGCGGTGTATTCTAAATTTTCTAAACCCAGAATTTCAAGTCTGGTGGCATAGGGTATTTTGTTACAAGCAAAGGAGTGGAGGATTCTTCTTGTCAAATATTTCTGGACACGCTCAATTGTATTAATGTCCGATATGCAGTGCAGGTTCCAGACAGCTGACCTGTATTCGAGAATTGGTCTAGCAAATGTTTTGTATGCTCTGCTTAGTAGTGAAATATTACCAGAGAAGAAGCTACGCAAGATTAGATTTACAACCCTTAATGCCTTTTTGGCAATGTTGTTACAGTGGGCTTTGGCACTTAGATCATTTGATATGAGTACTCCAAGGTCCATGACAGAGTGAGGGTCATCTAGAAGGTCATATCCACTCAGCTTGTATTTAGTGTTCTGATTCTCTTTGCCAATGTGTAAGACAGAGCATTTGTTGGTTAAGATTTGGAGTTACCAATTTTTTGACCATTCCGACACAAAGTCAAGGTCTTTTTGAAGGGTAGCAGCATTGTTGGCAGTGTTAAATAGTTTAACATCATTGGAAAAGAGTTGCCATTACTTAAGGCAGATGTTTTCTTTTGCATTATGGTAACTTCTTTTTTTTTTCAATTATATGAAACTGAAAGTATTAGAATCAGAGAAGGGGAACCATCAAATCAAAGATGTGTTAAAACTTGGAGATGGCAATTTAGAAGTTCAAGTCTTAAGACAATAGTTAGACTACTAACTATTCAACTGAGTGCTTTGCATAGTCAGGCAAAAGCCAATCCCTATAACTCCAGTAGGGATACTGAGTGACTGGTCATTGTGATGCTGTGCAGATTTTCAGTGGTGGCAGCTCATGCAGTTTGTTCAGGGGGGGATCATCGTCACCAATTAATGGTCCAATATTAGTCCTGATCTGCAGGCCAATCTGGGATGGAATTCAGCCTGAGGCAAAAAACAAAATAGTCTAGCTTCATACTACTCTATATACTGGGGGTGGACAATTAATTTTCCCGGGGAGCCACATGGGACAGTTGTGGAGGGCTGAACCAATAGGGCTATGAAGTTGTGTAGGCATATGCAAATTGAAATAAAAATAGTGGTTGCTTTCAAAATAAAAGCAATGTAGTTGTATTCCATGCATGGCATATATTTACATTTTATTTTTAATTTCTGATTGACCTCACATGGGCCATACAGGGGTAGCCAAAGGGTCGGATGTGACGTGGGAATAGCAAAATGCCAAGGTCTGCTCTATAAAAGGTTTCACCAGTCCAGTTGGGCAGATGCTCTCATGTCTGATTCTTAGCCTAGGGAGCTTCTGTTAATTAATTAATATTAAATTAATTATTAATTATTAATTAATTTTAACCATGGTATCCTTCTGGGACGACTAAGGGAGTTGGGAATGGGAGGCACTGTGTTACGGTGGTTCTCCTCCTATCTCTCTGGTCATTCACAGTCAGTGTTGGTAGGAGGACAGAGGTCAACCCCTAGGCCCTTCGTTTGCGGGGTGCCTCAGGGCTCGGTCCTCTCTCCCCTCCTATTTAACATCTACATGAAACTGCTGGGTGAGATCATCCGACGATACGGGGTGAGATATCAGCAGTACGCTGATGATACCCAGCTGTATAATGCTACCCCGCGTCAATTTAGTGATGCAGTGGATGTGATGTGCCAGTGCCTAGAGGCTGTGAGGGTGTGGATGGGAGTCAACAGGCTCAGACTTAACCCAGACAAGACCGAGTGGTTGTGGGTATTGCCTCCTAAAGACTATGTTGATTGTCCATCCTTGGTTCTGGGGGGGGGACAAATTGTCCCCCTCAGAATGGGCTCGCAATTTGGGTGTCCTCCTAGACTCACAGCTAAGATTAGAGCAACATCTGACTGCTGTGGCTAGGGGGACCTTTGCACAAGTTCGCCTGGTGCACCAATTGCGACCCTACTTGGATCGGGAGTCTCTCCTCACAGTCACTCATGCCTTTGTCACCTCATGGTTAGATTATTGCAATGCGTTCTACATGGGGCTACTCTTGAAAAGTGTTCGGAGACTACAGTTGGTTTAGAATGCAGCCGCGAGAGCTATTGTGGCTGCAGCTAGATACACCCACATTACACCAATTCTCCGCGAGCTTCACTGGTTCCCTATTGGTCTCCGGGCACAATTCAAGGTGTTGGTTATTACCTTTAAAACCCTACATGGCTCAGGGCCAGGTTATCTTCGAGACTGCCTTCTACCACATAGCTCCCAGCGACCGGTAAGATCCCACAGAGTTGGTCTCCTCCGGGTCCTGTCAGCTAAACAATGCCTGCTGGGGGGCCCGTGGGCGAGGGCCTTCTCTGTGGCTGCCCCAGCTCTCTGGAACCAGTTACCTCCTGAGGTCCGGACCACGCCCATCCTATTGGCCTTCCGAAAAGCAGTGAAGACCTGACTTTTACGGCAGGCCTGGGGCCGTTGATCTCGCTGTTGCGATCTTGTGAGATCTGGCCATGAATGGTGTGAATGGGTTTTAATGTTTTAATGTTTAAATGTTTTTATAATGGTTTTTTTAAAAAATGCATTGTAAGCCGCCCTGAGTCTCCAGAGAAAGGCAACATATAAATTGAATTAATAATAATAATAATAATAATTAAGTATGTTATGAGAAGCATGAGTTTTTAAACCCATAGTTTGAACAATTACTACTTGTTTCCTGTTGATTCTATGCCAAAACATTCCCCACTTTTCCTCTCATTTATACATCAGTATCAGTAGGAGAATTTTTTTTCTGGCCAATAATCTGCTTCCCAATGTCACTTGGGATTAGTTCATCTGGATTGTTTTATCTGAAATTACAAATGGCGAAAGAATATCTGCTGTTGCAGAAATCAAAGCTGTTCAAATCACAATTTTATTCCTGCCCCATGATTTGGTTAACTGTTGGTTGAATAAATAGCCGGGCACCAGGTCCACTTATCACACTAAGGCAGAAAACATAATTTATAAATTGCAGTACTGTCTGGCAATTTAAGGCACTGCCGAAGCCAAACAATTCACATTAAGGGATTAGCGCTCTGTATGAAACAAAATACAGTACAATTCTTCATAGTATGTCTTTGTGGGATTTCAAATAGGCATATAAGTAAAGCCTGTCAATTTTATTCAGAGACCTGCACTGCAGAGGGGGACCACTTATGTATTTTCATGCCCCCCCCCCAGTTCTGAATTATATCCGGCTGTAGCATGCATGAGGCAAGGTTCAAGTTTCACATCACAATTGCAAATTTGAACAGGCAGGAAACAAATTATTGAGTAATGAGTAAAGTACACTGTATTCAGATGCCTCAAGGTTAAGCCACCATGAATATAGTTCAAGCATTTTTTCCTGTGTTATTCATAAACAATAGCCTTGTAGCAATAATTCTTGAGCAACAGACCTAAACGGTTCATTAACTTGTGCTGTTCGAGGAAATAAACTAGTTCCACTAGACCTTTGCTGTCAAAAGTTTGGAGTCCTTCTAAACATTCTAGGTTATTTTAGTGTTCACTTTTGCCCCTACCTCCCCGCCCCCCATATATTCAAAAGAAAGTAGTGGAGGATGCAAGACCTCCAACCTGTTTGAGATGGCCAAGATCCTTGCAACACTATGCTTTTTTTTTCCCATCAAAAAAGGTAAAAATGGTAGGAATTGGGGAGAAGAGGGGAGGTCAGCAGCTTCTCAGCCTCCTTTGCTATGCTAGGAGGACTAACAAAATAGCTGCTATGTGAGAGCCCCAGCTATCTTGCTCCACCAAAAGATGAATCAGTTGACAAGGAGGAAAGATAGCTGGACTCTTTATGTTAGATGTAAACAGAAGCAACATCAGGTACGCCCTCAAAGCTCTGAAGTTTTGTGTACCATGATTTGCCTTCTTGTTTTAATTAGATATATTTCTGGTTTAGTCAAAACTCAAACAGAGGTATAGATATAGGTAGTTCTTCGGGTTTGAAGAAGGCGCACTGTTTTGCACTTCAACATGGAGGTAGGTCTGCAATCCCTGGATGGAAGCACAGAGTATAGTACTGGAAATCCATTGTTGTAATAACTGTGAATGTTATTTTGTGATGCTGTTCAGGTTGTTGTTTTTTTAATCAGTTTTTGGTGGCACTTGTTTTCAAAGCCAGTCGAGGCTTCATAGCACAGGACTTGCCAGTGGCTTCCCTCTGCAACTGCAGCTTTAGTTCTCTTAACTGGATGTCAAAGTGGCATAGGATCGCCTTCACAGCAACCTAGTAGTTCTTGTGTGGATGATCTTGAGGTTTCTTCCCAGTTACCAGTACACTATAGAACAATTGGCAAGGCATACAGTGGTAGTCCATTCTGATGATGTGTCCCACCCATCGCATCTGGCTTCTGGTAATCAAGGATTTAATGCTGGTGGACTTTGCATGATCCAAAATCTCAAAGTTAGAGACACAGTCTTTCTAATGAATGCCAAAGAGGCAACTGAGGGCATGCATTGAAATTTCTCCAGTTATTTGATGTACCATCAGTATAGAGTTCAGGACTCACATCCATATTACGAGAGAAGGGATGACCACAGCCCTGTAGACTTTCAGCTATGATTGTTGTGTTGAGCATTCTCGTATGCAGCTACCACAGAGCCTGGCAGCTGGCATCCCTTGGAAGTTTTGGACTTCAGCTTGCATTAGAATCATCTAGTATAGTCATAAAAAGAGACTGTGGAACAGGGGTGAAATCTAAAATCTTTCGCTACCGGTTCTGTGGGCGTGGCTTGGTGGGGGGGGATGTCCTGTGACTGAGTGGGCATGGCCAACTCAATTTCACTCACAGCCACGCCCACTCATGCCCACAAGACCCCATTCCACCAAGCCACGCCCACAGAACCCGGTAAGAAAACTTTTTAAATTTCTTTCTCCCACGGCTCCGCCCACCCACCCCATTCCCCGGACTCCTACAGCTCACCTTTCTCCCGCAGCTTGCTGTCAGGGAAGGCAAGCACCCGAAAGGTACCGGAGTCACTCACTCTCCTTCTTGAATGAGCCGCTCTGGTTCATGCACCTGCTGCGCAAGCGCACACCCAACCTGCCACTGAATTAAATAAATGGTGTGCGCTTGCGCAGCCGGCGCGTGGACCAGAGCGGCTCATTCAAGAAGGAGAGTGAGCAACTCCAGTACCTTTTGGGCGCTTGCCTTCCCTGACAGCCAGCTACAGGAGAAAGGTGAGCAGTAGGATTCCGGGGAATGGTGCATTCCCCAAGTCTGGGGAATGGGGAGGGTGGGCGGGTGGGCGGAGCCTCCAGCTGCCATTGCTACCGGTTCTCCGAACCACCGACCATCATTGCTACCTACTCACCCGAGCTTGTCCGAACCGGGAGCATTTCACCCCTGCTGTGGAAGTTGTTTAAAACATCAGGAAGGCACCAGCTTGCTTAGCTACCTTAGAACAGAAGTGAGATTCCTTTCATGGCAAAGCATTAGAAATGACATGCATGTTTAGCATTCCTTTTCTATATGAGTATGCACTTCAAGTCAGTGTTGACCCCTGGTGACTATCTGGACTAGTTTCTACAGTTTTCTTGGCAAGATTTCAGAAGTGGTTTGCCCTTATCTCTTTCCAAGCCTGAGAGAGAGTGACTGGCCCAAGATTGGCTTTGTGCCCGAAGCAGAGCTAGAACTCACAGTCTCCCATTTTCTAGTTTGATGCCTTTAACCACTACAGCAGAATGGCTTTCTATGGCATTTATTAGCAGAATCTAAGAGCTTCCTGAGCCTAGCATTCACATGCTACCTGCTACCTGTATCATTCTAAAGCACAGAGTAAGTTGTCCATCTCACCCATAAGGCAACTTGCTCTACTACATGTTGCTCAAGTGTTCCCAAGTTCATAATTTGGACCTGACTTGGACATATTTGTCAAGAAAGTCTGTTGCTGGTAATATGGAGGGCTTACTGGAATTTTGTTTTCATTTGCAGGTCTCCATATGTCATCCCTGATTTTTCTCTTTCCTGTTTCTTATGGAAAGTGGTGCCCAGACTCCTGTGCATTTTCAGTGCTAATATGCTCAACATTTCTGCCTTCCGAATCCATCGTGTGGAAAGTGCAGGTGAAAGTTCTCATCATGATAGACAATCCATGGAAAGAAGAGACTCCTATTGTTGGTTCTTCTGGTTCTTCTTTCTCTTTTTTAATACAAAGTAATTCTGTGTTTACGCAGATGACTGCCAAGATCACACCCTGTACTCCTGGCCTACTTTTGTCCTGGAAGGAGAACCCACGGTCCTAAAATGTCTACAATACAAAAATACAAAGTCTTTTGATCTGTCCCTTAACCTGACTTGGAAGAAAAAAGGTTCATCAACTATTATCCCTGCAGGATTCAAGGGGCCAAGAATAACGTCACAAGATGATGCTGTCTGGCTTTTACCAACCATTCTTCAGGACAGTGGGGAATACATCTGCACTCGAAGGTGGGCATACAACTCATGGGGTCGTTCAGTTTTACATAGCTTAACTTTGGAAAGAGAGTGCATTTAGCCAGAAGTAGGTAAGAGGTTAGTGGAAAAGGCACTAGAGTACTAACACAGCACTTACAGTATACTCTTTGGAGAAAAGTTGTTTCTTGTACAATATATCTTATGTATGTTGGATACACTGTTGGAAAATAGTCCACTTTTATTAACACAAAGCTTAACTTGATTTAGGATCAAGGAATAGGACAAAATACATTTAATTTGCATATTTAAATAACTGATCGGGTTTTTTTTAATTCCTGGACTAATGTAAACATAGTTTACCTCAGACTGTGCAGCTTCCCTGAATTTTGTGATATATTTGGTGGTTGACAATAGAATAGAATAGAATAGAATAGAATAGAATAGAATAGAATAGAGTAGAGTAGAGTAGAGTAGAGTAGAGTAGAGTAGAATAGAATAGAATAGAATAGAATAGAATAGAATAGAATAGAATAGAATAGAATAGAATAGAATAGGACAGGACAGGACAGGACAGGACAGAATAGAATAGAATAGAATAATATAATTTTTTATTGGCCAAGTGTGATTGGACAAACAAGGAATTTGTCTTGGTGCATATGCTCTCAGTGTACATAAAAGAAAGAATTAATGGTGGGATTAATGGTGTCCACCTTAAAATTTATCCATGATAACAAAATGATGTCTGAGTTACGAAACTACTGTATATTGACGATTGACAAAAAATCAGATTAGATATAATTTTTACTATGTGAGGAGTTTGAGAGTTTAGAATTTCTAAAACATGATTCAGTGGGCTGCTAAATAAAGCATCATTTCAGTAATTTAGTCAATGCTGACTACTACTTTAATATAATTCTTGATTAATGTATGGGCCACATTGAAGAGTGATAACTTACACACACACATATAGTACTTTTATACTTTCCAGTCAGTTTCCTCCCAGGAAAGCAAAAAGTTTTCATTGGCCACGGATTTACTCTATCAGTCCAAAAATGTGATTCATGGGTAACTAGCTGACTTTCAGCCAGTCACTCTCTTTCAACCCAATTCATTTCCCAGGGTTGTTGTTGTGGAAAAATAGGATATGTTCACTGCCTTGAATTACTTGTAAAAATAATAGAGGTGGAATATAAATAAACAAAAATAAATAATTATGGCCCATCACTACACATAGAATGGAGGATTTTGTATAAATATACAAAAGTATGAAGGCTATTGCTTAACGCATTGTAAGCCACCCTGAGTCTCCAGAGAAGGGCGGCATATAAATCAAATTTAAAAAAAAAAAATTGAGAAGGTTTCTTTTTGCATTGGAGAGATTTCAGAAGTTACTTTTTGCATTTTTATGAGAGCTCATAATCATTTTAAAAAGCAAGCACCCTGAAAGAGCTACTTGAGATCTGTCTCTATTTATGTCCCTCAACATGGATGCAAATGCAGATACAGCTCTTGATTCTATGAAGTTGTACTTGGGCATATTTATGCGACCATTAAGACGAGCGCTTTACTATAGCTACACTTTAAGCTTAGGACTTTACTATTGTTTTCTTTTGGAGAAAATGGTAAGGAGAAGGCTTACTTATGAGCTAGGCAATCAGTCGTAAAAGAATTAGCCTGGGTTTTCATCGACCTCTCATTCTGTTCCAGAAAATCCCCCAACTCTAAGGAGTGGGGGGTAAAAGAAGAGCACCAGGATTTGTGTGGCAGGAGTGTTTTCAACAAAATCAGTGGACACAATTCAGTGTGTCAGTACTGTCCAGTTTCTGGAATTCCTATTACATATTGTCTAAAACAATTAAATATGAGTAATAAAGAATGAAAAGTTTCACCTTTGTGTTATAATGCTGCAATTCCTCATTATGAATTTATCTTTTCCCTGCAGGAATTCCTCTTACTGCGCTAAAGTGTCAATGCATTTAAAAGTTGTCAAGAGAAACGAAACCAATAATATTTCCTATCCTCAGAAGGCATTCCTGCTTAGTTCCGGAAAGATAGTTTGTCCTAATCTAGAAAATTTTATACAAAACAATACCAATTATGAACTCAAGTGGTACAAGGTATTATTTTCAAATCATTTCTAAATTTCTACATGGGGATTTGAACTTGAATTTCCAATATTCAAAATTCACTAAATAAGGTAAAGAATCTATGGTCCTTCAGAGCTTAATGGATTGCTGGTTCCATTACCTCTGATCATTATGTTCTGTCTTAAACTCAGGGAACTATACAACTATCATTAGCTCTATGTTATACATTACAAACTGAACAGGAGGAAATATTCAATAGTGATCAGCTTGTGATCAACTCTGAGTTATAGTCTAAATGAGGACTGTATTATAGCTTCATTTGACTTCTGGAACACTCAGATCACCGTATCATTGTAATTCAGCAATATTGTTTTCGAAACCTGCAATGATCTCACATTGTAGACTTTTTTCCTCTTGCATTTTAAGACATTTTTTTCCCACCCCTCAAAGTGCTGACTGTTAAACAATAGCCTTTTCTCCACTAGAGTCTTTGAGCATCTTCATAGCATCATCCAGCCATTGTGGCAGTGATATCAAACCTGTTCTCATTACTATTACTTTAAATCAATAGTATTTGGGTGATTGTAGAAGATGCTATAAATCACTATTTGAAAAATGACACCCCCCCTTCTTTGAACCTGTAATAGATAATTAAAGGTGTTAACTCAGGTGAGTTGGATATGCTAAAACCTATTTATTAAATATATCTGAAGAAAATGTGTCTCTGCATCAGGTGGCCTATTTTTCATAACATTTTCTTCTAGGCTTCCTACTCCAATTTGACCTTTTAAAAAGTTATTGGCATGCTACAAAGCAAAGAACCAGCCATGTGAGAGAAAGCATCTCCTGACACCCATCGCATGCTCTCAAAATCCCAAAGGTTCCCGCTATTGGTAAAAAAGTAGGCCACTCTCCAAAGAAAATAGAAATGGCCCTGACCTTGCTATTATTTTGAGCCAATTCAAATCTTTGCTCTTTGCCCATATTTTTTTAGTTCTGTCATGTTTTCTATTGTCTCCTCATGTTGATTTTAGATGGTAATTTTTTTTCATTGTATTGCTTTTTGTACGTTTTTGTCTGGATGACTTAATCTTAGCTACTTTTATAATTTTTGACAAAAATCACTTTATAGTTTAAGAAATAAATATCAACCAATCAAACCATATAGATTTAGGTTTCTAGTTTGGAAAAAGATATTTGATTATTTTGAACAAGTTATCAGGCATTCTTGAAAAAAAAATGCAGGAGATCTCCAAAGATTGGTGTCAATCATGTCAACAATATGATCATTAAACCAATCTGGACATTTTAAATAGTCCAAAGTCAATGAAAAAAAATATGCAAGAAGAAAATTGGCATTACCTTTGCACTGAAGCAAATCTGATACTGCAATTAACCGTTAAACAGCTCCTTTCTTTTCTATTCATCTCTAGGACTCTATACATCTGAACATGGATAATAAGAAGTTTGCAGCTCTGAATGGCACTAATTATCTCTTGATCAATCCTATTTCAATGAATGATTCAGGCTATTATACTTGTGAAATGACCTTTGAGTTTGAAAAGGAACAATATACTATTACCAGAACTATTCAGCTACAAATACTTGGTAAAAGAAACACAAAAACAACCAAAACGTGTTGAGTAAATGGAATAGTTATAACTATTAAATATGATACTAACAGTTGTTCTTTAAAAGTTAATTTGATTTTTATATAATGAGTTTCCATCAGGATAAATTTTAGAACTTGGGGTAGGGTTTCAAAGTATAGAAGATGGTACTGTAGCTCAGTACCAATTTTGCAAGAAAAAGGTTACAGTGTCAGTAGTTAATTCCAAGTAAGATGGTGAAAAAATCCTTTCTGTGACTCTTAAAAGCTGTGGCCAGGGTAGACAGCACTTATCTAGATGGCACAATGGTCAGTTTTCAAATAAGGCAATACTATTTTGGCTTACATATACAAGTGGTTTTTATTTCTGCTAATTCCATTGGATGGCTAGGTCATGATATATAAAAGTTTTGCAACCAGCCTTACAAATTACTCTCAGTTGTTGGATTTGTTTCTTGATGTAAGACCAGAAGTATGATACAGTAAAAGAAATAGAGATGTGTAGTATGTATTCTACTAGTACTACTACTACCAGTACTACTACTACTACTACGACGACAATCGAACATCAGTTGATTCATCCAACCTTTTTTCTGTGTAATTGCAGATGCACAAAATCTGCTTATCTCTAAATATAAATAGTTTGCTCAAAAGTGATCTGGTAGAGAATTGTGAAAAAAAATAAGATGTAAACAGAAACTTCCTTATCTTCAAGCTTCTCAGCATTAGAGCTGTCAAAGGCCAAAATTAGGAGATTATCCAGTTCAACATTCCAGCTACTTGCTTCAGATAACTTTCTAAAATAACTTCATGGACTGACAACATAAATCTTTAACTCTCAATGGAAGCTAACCCTGATGTCTTAAACAAGGAAATGTAACAATTATATCCAAAGACAATTTCAGGCAAATAGATGTACTTAATGATGCAAAAAATAAACTAAGGCATGAGATTTTCTTTAGAAAAAAAAAATGGTTCCAGTCCCATTATCTTTTTAAAAGTTTTTAAACTAGCTTTCTTTTGATGGATTGAACCATAAACAATATGGGAATGTGTTGCCTATAAGTAGCCAAAAGATGGCAGTAATGTCTACATTTTTCCTCTTTGCCAATGTTAAAATGTTTCCAACTAGCAGGGATCTTTTTTTTTTTTTCTGCTTTAATTTATATGTCGCCCTTCTCCGGAGACTCAGGGCGGCTTACAATGCCTTAAGCAATAGCCTTCATACTTTTGTATATACAAAGTCAGCTTATTGCCCCCACAATCTGGGTCCTCATTTCACCTACCTTTGAAAGGATGGAAGGCTGAGTCAACCTTGAGCCTGGTGAGATTTGAACTTGCAGTAATTGCAAGCAGCAGATGTTAATCTGTTCATAACAGTGCTTTAGTCCACTGTACTACAGGCTCTTGCCTTTATCTTCTATAAAATTCAGAAAAACTAGCAGAAAACCTCTATGTTTTAGGTAGTAAAGACAAGAAATCTACAATGCCTCTTAAAAAGGCCTAAGGTGAGGTAAAAGGTAGCACTGGAAATGGACTTTACAATATATGCTATACCCCAGCATGCATCAGTGCTAATTCCTATGCCAATTATATCCTTTCAACTGCCCAGTCTGGTGCTGAAAACCATCCCTTTGCTCTTTGTTTTTTGTTGTTGTTGTTGTTGTTGTTGTTGTTTTTGATTTTGTAACTTGAAGAGAACAAGAATTATTTAGTTTTGCATTTTCTTTCATGCTATAAGATATGTCCTTTACTGCTGCTACAGCTGAAACAAACCATGAGCCTACTGGAGTTACAGTCCCCATTTCTCCCGCTCTCTAGAGGACCAGATTAGTTAATTCTGTTCTGGAGCTCACAAAGATGCAATTGTATTCAGTATTTTACTTCTTCTTCACACCACTTGCTGCTCTAAGAATTTGTCTACATTCCCAATATGTTAAATAGAGCAAGCAAGCAAGCAACTAAACATGGTTTTAAAAACAGATTGAGTTAATGCAGTTTCCTGTTTAAATGCCCTGGATTTTAAGACCATGATGATTATAGAAATAAAATGAACTGCTGTGGGTATTCTGTTGCTAACCCCAACTCCTTGGAAATGATCACCGTTTAATTGTAGAAAAGAGTGCATATTTTGGAAATATTAATAAGCATGTTCAGTTGGATAACCCCCAACTCTTAAACCACAGGGTATAATATGAAGATAGGCTCAAGCACTATCCACTTTTGTGAACTCTAGCATGCCTACATGACACCCTGTTTTCCACAGATCCCATCACCTATGGATCTCTGGGTAGTCACTGTGAAATGTCCAGATTTTTGGCCTTACGATCCACCAAGTCTAAAAGACACAAATGATCAGCTATTGTAGGAAGTGAGGTTTATATTTCTGGAAAACTCCTAGGCTGAGTAGGCTATCTTAATTTTATTAATGAATCAAATTTATATAGTCGTCCATCTGATAGGAAGTGATTCTGGGTAGTATAAAATAATCCTTATGTTTCAACTCTCCGCCAACAGAAAACTGCCCCCGCAGACAGCATTACAATGGCTTACTCACAGCCTAAATTACAGTTCAACATGTGAACTAGAACCTGGGCCAAATATTGACTTTGAAATTTTTGATTGTTGATTTTCAGTTTTATCCAGTTCTTTGGAAAAGATCACTGTGCTCTTATAGCAGTTATTCAAATGCATGCATGTTGTAATGATAATATATTGTTTCAAACATCTAATGGTTTCTCCTGCTTTTTTCACTAGAACAAAGGAGAAAAAATGTCCCCGTGATTGTCAATCCAGATGAAGAGATTACATCAGCAGCTCTCGGTAAGGCCAATAATTTATTTAAGGTACTTTTTTTTAAAATTTGATTTATATGCCGCCCTTCTCCGAAGACTCAGGGCGGCTTACAATGTGCTCAGCAATAGCCTTCATCCTTTTGTATATATTTATACAAAGTCAGCTTATTGCCCCCACAACTGGGTCCTCATTTCACCTACCTTAGAAAGGATGGAAGGCTGAGTCAACCTTGAGCCTTGGCGAGATTCGAACCCTGCAGTAATTGCAGGCAGCTGGTCTTAATAAGCTTAATAACAGGGTGCCTTAAACCCTTGTACTACCAAGGCTCTTGTGCACAGTGAGGGCAATGGTCAACCTAATGTTGACTGATTTTCTGATTCTGGCAGAATCAGATTAGAAGCTCAATAATGCTAGTCTATTCTTCATAAACATCTTACAATAGTTGTCAACCCTAGGATACATTCCAGCTCAAATTACAGCTAATGTTAATAATGCTAAATGTGTCAGCTAAGCCAACCTTGTCTGGGGTTGGATCAGTGGTGGGATTCAAGTAATTTAACAACCGGTTTTCTGCCCTAATGATTTCCTCCCACAACTAGTTTGCCAAACTGCTCAGAAAGTTAACAACCGGTTCTCCCGAAATGGTGCGAACTGGCTGAGTCCCACCACTGGGTTAGATGTTAAACAGATTTAGGCTTTATTAGAAGTTGGATGGGATACTAACAGTGAATGGCTGAGCTGTGGGTTTGCTTGATTTGAAGAAGATTTTTCACTGGTTAGCATGGTATCAGGACCAAATTAAAAAAAAAAAAAAAAACCAAAATGTTGAATGAATATATACCGGTACATTGTAGCCTTAAATCAATGTCTAAAATGTAAATGAGTTAAACTGTTGGTGACTTCATAGACACTTCCAGATGTTTCTTAGAAACAATGAAGATGTCATTTACCAATGCAAACTTTCTTGTGGGAAGTTTTTTTTTTAACATCCTGGTCTTGCACATAGCCTGAGGATTGTGCATGGTCTTCTATTCTAATTACCAATGACAGCCATGACCTTATAGATATTTTCCCAAAATTTGGGGAGAAGTTGCTGTCTAGCTGATTAGGTTCCATGATGGAAGCCACAATTATTTGGAAGCATCCAAGTCAGGTGTTTGATGCCAGTCTCCAGATATTCTTTCCTGGATTTTTTGCAGTAATGGCCCAACTTGGGCAAGTTGAAAGAAGAGTTTCCAACACTTCTTTTTCCTTGTGCTGTTTACATGGCAAAGATATATAAGCAGTAGTCAAAGGAGCAAACAGTGAAATTCTGCATAGTGCAATATTATGTGCATAGTTCTGCCCGAAACCATGAATATGTGCAATGACCAAATAGGAAAGGGCGAATCTGATTCTGTGACCACAGCATTGGAAGGAAAGTAGAAATGCCACATGATGCATGTGACAAGATCGGGTTTCTTCTCCTCTTCCTCCAGTTGGCTAGCCCACTGGATCTTTGTTCTGGATCTTGCTCCTGCAGGGAGCTGGAGTAGCCCTGATAGCAAATTGCAACACAGCCTAGCATAAAAAGTGCCGTGCTTGTACAGAAGGTAGCTAATGTGAAGTTCAGCAACGAGTGCATGAAAGCAAAAATAGTCTGGACTTCCTGCTGAAAAATATGAGATTTCTGCTCAACTTGGCCTACTGGATCTCTGTCTCTTCCTTGAAGGATGAGCAGAAATTTAACAACTAGTTTTCAAGAATCAGACCAAGCTGGATAGGTAATAACCCTAATAAAGAACTTCATTTGTGAATGAATTGAGTGTACATTCTAGCACCATGATGGTGAACCTATGGCACGCGTGCCCAAAGTGACACACGAAGCCATATCGCCCAGCACGCACACCTTGTCTGTTTGTCTTCTGGGTTTCTGGCGTGCATGTGCACGTGTCGATCAGTTGTCCTTTGCATGCGGCAGTGCTGAAAACCAGTGTGTGCATGCGCGCTGGCCAGCTGATTGTCAGGTATGCATGCGTGCCAGAACCCGGAAATTCGGCTTTTCCAGAGTGTGATCTCTGTGTGTGCATGGCAGTGCTGAAAACTGGCCTGAGCATATGCCCTGGCCAGCTGATCATTGGGAGAGCATGCACACTAGAACCCAGAAGTTGAACTTTTCTATAGCGCAGTCCCGAAGAGCTTGCATTTCCGCACAATCTTTTTGGCACTCACCATCACTGTCCTAACAGATTGCTCTGCAGGAATAAGACAAAGGCACAAAATAACTGCATTGACTGACATGATTTTGGATTCTTGAAATAGAACTATGACTCAAGAGGGATGTGGTTGAGGGATGTGATATTGTTAGTTCAAGGAATGATTAGTTAAATAACATTGAAATTGTTTTTTTTTAAATTCTGCATATACTGGGTAAGCACTATAACGCTAAATAAATTGTTCAAATCTCAATGATATTACCAGCATACTTTTATTCTCTTGACTTCAGTGTTGGTCTGAAGAACTTGTAGGGAACTAGTAAGTTCTGTAAATATTTTACAAGCAGTAATGGGACAATAAAGTATTGTTTGTTTACAGAAACATAAGCCGGTTGTAAAAACAAATTAAACTCTAAATTGGGCATAAAATGAGTTTGCCAAAAATACTGATGCATACAACACATAATATGGAGTCATGAGTAATCATAGATTACAGATGAACAAGAAGTTCAAGTGCTTTAAATTGCTCTTCCTGTAACTATCCATTATCAAGCATTATGGTATGATGGTCAATATTAGTCACCTTTTATCAACAAGAATAAAATAGAAAACAGAAGAACAGAAAAACAAATATCTCACACTAACAATAAGAAAAAAAGGTGTACAAAAAGGGAAAAGAAAAAAGCCCCAAATGTCAAATAGATATTATTATATCTACTGTATATATATATTATTATATAATATACCCTGTTTCCCCCAAAATAAGATATCCCCTGATAATAAGCCCAATTGGGCTTTTGAGCACATGGCAATAAGGCCAAGTGCTTATTTCAGGGTTCAAAAAAATATAAGACAGGATCTTATTTTGGGGAAAACACGGTATATAGATATATATTGTTAGTCATCTTGATTAGAACTGCTAAAAGGGAAGCAGTTTTAAGCTCACTTTCCCACACTCCAGAGGTGGGAGAGAGAGCAATTTTGCCTGCAGTAAAGTTATTGAAAAAAGGTGAAGATTTTAGATTTTAGAACTCTTTATTGGCCAAGTGTGATTGGACACACAAGGAATTTGTCTTTGGTGCATATGCTCTCAGTGTACATAAAAAGAACAGATACATTCGTCAAGAAACATACAACACTTAATAATAGTCATAGGGTACAAATAAACAATCAAATCATACTAGGAAACAATCAATATAAATCATAAGGATACAAGCAACAAAGTTACAGTCATACAGTCATAAGTGGGAGGAGATGGGTGATAGGAACGATGAGAAGATTAATAGTAATGCAGACTTAGTGAATAGTTTGACAGTGTTGAGAGAATTATTTGTTTAGCAGAGTGATCGTGTTCGGGGAAAAACTGTTCTTGTGTTTAGCTGTTCTACTGTGCAATGCTCTATAGAGTTGTTTTGAGGGTAGGAGTTGAAACAATTTATGTCCAGGATGCGAGGGGCCTGTAAATATTTTCACAGCCCTCTTTTCGACTCGTGTAGTAAACAGGTCTTCAATGGAAGACAGGTTGGTAGTAATTGTTTTTTCTGCAGTTCTAATTATCCTCTGAAGTCTGTGTCTGTCTTGTTGGGTTGAAGACCCAAACCAGACAGTTATAGAAGTGCAGATGACAAACTCAATAATTCCTCTGTAGAACTATATCAGCAGCTCCTTAGGCAGTTTGAGCTTCCTGAGTTGGCGCAGAAAGAACATTCTTTGTTGTGCTTTTTTGATGACGTTTTTGCTGTAATGTGTCCATTTTAGGTCTTGAGATATGCTAGAATCTAGAAATTTGAAGGTCTCTACTGTTGATATTGTGTTATCTAGTATTGAAAGAGGTGGTAGTATGGGAGAGTTCTCTAGGCACTAATGTGGCCAAATTATCCATTCCTAAATGCCAAATGGTCAACAACATTTGGCAATGATGATATTCATATTTTGGTAGGGATTTTTTTGGGGAGTGGATATATTGCACTTATATCAGGTGGTCATGAACAGAATCTGCAGTATTATCCCTATTCCCCCCCGAAGGCTTTAGGCTGGGTCTTTGATCATGCCTGTTACTTTGGTGAAATGAAAATCAATGGCTTATATTGATTTCCTGATTAGATGAAACTGTTTTCTGGGGTACTTGTCCAATTCCATATTTGCAGTTGCTAAAGTGGATTCCTACCTGCATCTCATAACTATTTGAAATCCAATAGGGTTACAGTATTTCAGAGTAATTTCATGAGAATTGCAAACTGGTACATTCTTGAACTAATACCAGGACTAATAAAAATTAAACAAAAACCATTATGCTGACATTAAACCATCTCATTAAAATCGAGTTACCTCATAGCTACTTAATCCTGGTTGCTAAAAGAAGAATGTTCTTATGAAAATACCTTAAAAATTCAAAATTGGGGTGATTTGTTCCTGTGGACATATATTCTCTGGTGTATATGTATTTATTTTCCTTATTTTCCTTTCATTTCAAAACAGGTTCTCAACTCATTATCCCATGTAGAGTTTTTATTGGAGCAAATAATCATTCTGATGTTGATGTCTGGTGGCTGGCTAACAACAGTTATATACAAAACATTTACCCAGACAGAAGAGTTAAAGAAGGAGAAACTGGGTAAATGTTTTTATTTTTATTGCTTTTAAAATAATAACAGAAAAAAACAAAATCTATATATTCATTCTCAAAAAGAAAAGAAAAAATACAGGTGCTTAAAAAAAAAGTGAGAAATTACAACAACAAAAAATCCATTCATATGTCTAATCAGGTCTTCAATCCATTAAGTAAATGGAACCATACATTTTATCTTTCCAATGTTGCAAAATCAAACTTTTCGCCATAGTGAGGGCATGGAAAATCAAATGTTGTTTGGTTGTCCAATTCCAAGTATGAGTCGGAATGATTCTCAATCATCCAAGTCATAGTTGTCCCAAAGGTGCTTTTTCCAAGAGGTCAGAGCTGAAGAAGCTTCTTGGATAAGAAGCGAAACATCTTCAAAGAAAAACAAGAAAGTCCAGTTTCCCCTTGAAAAAGCACCTTTGGGACTTAGAAGTATGAGGTATATAGTGCACAAGAATATTATCATTTGAAAATCTTAGTTTTTGTCACACAATTATATTTCTTTCTTCCTTCAAAAGTTAGTAAGTATAGGATATTGCAAAAACACATCTTTTTAAGAAGCATTGTTCTTATTACATCTCCCAAAAATGCTGTCTTAGACAATCTATTCTGTTCAAAAGTAATGGAATCCAATAAATTATAAATATTATTTTTAGTTGTATGAATCATAGTTTAAGGTGCATTGATACCCTTGCTATAAAGGTTAAAGGTTAGGGTTAAGGCTATTCGATTGTCTACATTCTCTCTCCCTCTCTTTCTCTTTCTCTTTCTCTCTCCCTCCCTCCCTCCCTCCCTCCCTCTCTTTCTGATTCAAATGCTGTTGAAATGTTAGGTTATACCAGGTAATATCTTTATAGGACATCTAAAAGTCAACAACTGGCTTATGTTTCTGTGATTTGTAATCTATAAGCCTTGCACAATTTTCTCTTCAAATACAACGTTTGGATATATTGCACTTTAATTTCCACTGTTCTATCAGACATTAGCCATGATGGCTATAGATTTTGAGGATAGACATTTGGGGCAAATTACAATTATATCATGTGTCTCATGATATAATTGCAAATTGTCCTTATATAATTGCAAACAATGCAAATTATTTAATTCTTGGCTCTTGCACGATGCCACACATGATTTCTTTTGTTGTCTATGTTAACCCCCTCCTGAAAACACCATTAGTGGAAAATGTATTTGAACACCTCCATAAAGTTGCCAGGTTGTGGACTTGCTTAATGTTTTGTCAAATATCGTTTGCTTCAACTTCACTTGGAATAATGGCTTCACATCTAAATGGTGATAACTTGAGAACTTTTCAAAGATACATTGCATATGTGAATAAATTAGCGCCAATTAAAGTCAAAGTAGACTGATGGATGACAGTAAAATCACTTTTCTACATCTGTGTCTTCCCTTTAATCTAGTTTAGTGTGATAGACGAGCTATATAATTTTTAGAGCAAAAGAGATATGTAACTGGATGCGTAGTTACATCAATTCTTTTTCAGTTTAAGTTTTCTTATATTAACAGCAGAGGTCAGGTGAGAGGGAAAAAACTCAAATAGCAGGATTTTATTTATTTTTTGCATTTAGAGTTTTTTTTTTTTCCTAAATGAAAAAAATCAAGGCTATATCATTCTTCATTCAGTTGTCCTTTCCTTCTGAGCACTTCAACCTCTCTGCCTAACAATATAAATGATTATATTCCCTCCTAGGCAATTTGTAGAAAATAACAACAGATCTGTTGAGGTGCAATTGATCTTTGACTCCATCACAGAAGCCGATTTTCATACTGATTTCAGATGTGTGGCACAAAACGGTGGTGGGAATCGTGTACAAACAGTGACAGTCAAGGAAAAAAAAGAAAGGTCTGTATAACAACCCAATTATGCTTATTACCATCTTTTCCTCATTATTTTTATTCTGGTGACTCTGATAATGGCCATTCATTTTCTCATTTTGTAAATATGGAAAGAAAGTTAAGGAATAAAGTGCCCAAAGGTCTGGAATAACTTCTGGTCAGGTCATGTTTATATTACATGATTTCTAATAAGTTGTTTTCCTTTCAAATAATTACAATTTCTCTTGGCATGTTTCCAAAGGAAGTGGAGAGGAAATTATGTACATACAAAATTATCCAGTTTTGCCAAAGGTTATCCCACATTTTGCTTATTACTGCTATGTAATGAGTTTTTTAAATTCTCTCTGGAATCCATAACATGTAGCTAATAAGCAAAAATTCTCAAACTACTGTATGCATCATACAGATCACATGATAAGTTCCTCAGTAAATGCCACATCTCTACTAGGGCCATTGAATCTCATTTGGACGGCTTCTTAGGTGACCTTCTTCACACTAAACACATTGATTTTCATATGAAATCAGACATGGTTCCAATTTCTGTTCTACCTCACCAAGTTGGACGGGGGGGGGCATTTTCCTTCACTGATGTGAAGAAGTAAGCTGTACAAACAGCATCTACATTGACCCAAGTCAAGCATTTGGGACCAGGGCAAGATGTAATATGCTATTTATGGGTTCTCTCATTTGCTATCTTCAAGCAAAGAATAACTATCGTATCTCATGATTGAATATATTAGTTACAGCTTGGAAAATGAAATACACACACACACACACGCACACGCACATATTGAGAGAGAGGGGGGGGGGGAGACAGATTAACTTTTCCAAGATTTGTGAATAGGAAACTGATGTAAGAATCAGATTACTCTTAGTCAACAATTTTATTGAATTGAAATAAACATCCCACCAATATTTTTCCCAACCTGGCTTGCTGAATTTTTCTGAAATTATTGTTCAGTCCAATGTTTTGTGAGAACTTTAGTGTTCTGTTGGGGAATAGTTTGCTCAATAGTTTGTTAAAACATTGAAGGAATTCATATGAGTTGGCAGAAGTGCAAGAATGGGGAATATATGTATCTTCAGGTGTTGTTGAACTGTAGCATAAATGTATCCCAATATCACCTGAAAAGTCATAGATTAGATTAATTACATTATATCAGTGCAACATGATACCTAAAAATATTATACACCTTCAGAGCAAAGGACAGCACTGAAGGGGGTAAAAAGCTTGCAGTTTATAGGCTGTTATAGTTTCATACTTTTGGAAGCATTTGACTTGCCCTATTTTAAAGCTGTGCACTGATTGTATATTCTTACAAAATTTAACCAAATTTCTTTTTATTGCCATAAATATGGCATGTTGTTGTTTTCTATTCCATCTGCTACTAATAAAACTTGTGTTTGTGGGAATCAGGAAGCTTACAAAAACAATGATTTAACCAATGCATAGTATGTTGTCTAATGTTGGTTTTTTCTTTCTTTCTTTCTTTTTTTTAAAAGACCGCGAGTTGTCTTGGTACTTGGCAGTTACTCCTGTGGCTCTGGCTATTCTCATCATAGGAGGAGTGTACTTGAGTAAATACTGGAAGCAAAGATCTACGAAGGGTTATGTTGTGGCCAACTCCTAATGAATATACTTTTATTTCTTATATATTTTTTATTTTAGCATCCTAAATGATTTTCTCATCTGTCCTAAGATATCTAGAATCCTTTCGGTTGTAAATAGAAATGAAGTTGCTGTTTTGATGCTTGTTAAAAGAAATCTAATGCAAGTTTCTATAATAGCAAAAATATAATAATTGTATTTTTTAAATGTTATTTCTAATTTGTTATTTCTAATTTTACCAGTGAAATCTGATACAGAAAAGGAACTTTAATAGTAGTAAACATGAATCATCTACTATCTTATTTAGATTTTATATTAATGGGGGGTATGTGTGTATACTTTATAAATTGCATTTAATTTTTTTTAAAAAATATGATTAAATTTAAAACAAAGAGAGATGGCAGAGAAGAGACAGAGGGAGAGACTTTCAGTGACTATAAAAAAGCCATAGTTCTTTAAAAAAACCTAAGGAAATTAATCTTCCAAAGGAAAAAAAAAATACATCGTGAACCTACCATTAAGTTATAATTCCAATTTTTTACTTCTTTAGTACCAGAACCTTATTTTATATTTGTTATTGCAAGTTATGCAAGTTATATGTTAAATATATGTCTGATTTTTTGGAACTTTGGAAGCCAGTAAGGTATTAAAGCTGAACAGGGAATATAGCAAATTTTGTTAATTGTATTATAATAATAATTGTATACATTTGATGTCATATAATAAATTATATTCCTTCTCCAATTTTACTGTTTTTACTGTTTACTGTCAACTGATTAAGAGTAATTATGAAGGCTAATATCCAATTTTAGTATTCTACAGTATATCATCAGCATCAGAAACTTGATTTATTTACACTATTACAAATTTTTTTGCTGCATCTGATGTTGCCAAACTGGCTCATCCATATTATATGCACAGAGAATTCACCTGTCTGCTGAAAGTGTCATATAATCAAGCATCCTTTAATTAAACCAGATTATCATCCCTGCTGTAATCATACGAGCCTACACCATAGTAATATTATCATCAATATTTTTTGACTTACATCTGCAGAATCCAAGTCACCAGACCGTGGTGGAATTCAATTTTTTTAAACTACTGGTTCTGTGGGCGTGGCTTGGTGGGCGTGGCATGGGAAGGATACTGCAAAATCTCCATTCCCACCACACTCCAAGGGAAGGATACTGCAAAATTCCCATTTCCTCCCCACTCCTGGGGGAAGGAGATTGCAAAATCTCCATTCCCACCCCACTCTGGGGCCAGACAGAGGTGGTGTTTGCCGGATCTCCGAACTACTCAAAATTTCCACTACCAGTTCTCCAGAACCTGTTAGAACCTGCTGAATAGCATCCCTGCACCAGACCCTTCTTAAAGTGACCCAGACCATATTAGAGAAATATAGGGCAGAAGATGGTCTGTGAAAATTGTATAGGCATCTGGAGGAAAACATTGCCAGGATCCAAGCTAGATACTTGTTGAGCAAGTCCTGATGAACTGACAGAAACCAAGATAGCAGCAAGATAGGACAATCACTGTGTCTTGTTCATCTCTTGTTTGGATATGGCAATGTGTCTTCCCTGGGGATGCCTTTGAAGAGCAGTCAGAAAAGATAGCTGATCCAGAATTTAACAACTTGAACAGCCATAAAGGTAAAGGTTCCCCCTCACACATATGTGCTAGTCGTTCCCGACTCTAGGGGGCGGTGCTCATCTCCGCTTCAAAGCTGAAGAGCCAGCCCTGTCTGAAGACATCTCTGTGGTCATGTGGCCGGCATGATTAAATGCCAAAGGCGCACGGAACGCTGTTACCTTCCCACCAAAGGTGGTCCCTATTTTTCTACTTGCATTTTTACATGCTTTCGAACTGTTAGGTTGGCAGAAGCTGGGACAAGTAACAGGAGCTCACTCTGTTATGTGGCACTAGGGATTCAAACCACCGAACTGCAGACCTTTCTTATCGACGAGCTCAGTGTCTTAGCCACTGAGCCACCACATCTCTGTGAATAGTCATAGAGACATCGAGCTGCAGTGGTTGCAAGACATAGAGCTGCAGTGGTTGCAAGTTGGTTTTCAGGTACAATTAAGGTGCTGGTTGTCTCTTTTAAAGCCTCTTTTAAAGGACCCATCTAGAGATCCAATTTTATCGATCTATCCACTAAGATCTGGTACAGCAGATTCTCTCCATATCCTTGCCTCAAATAATAAAAATCACAGAAGTTGAGCCTTCCAAATTGTTGAAGAATAGTATTTTTCTAGAATTCTGAATCTCTTTGACCCAGTTTGTAGCAAGTTCACTGTTCCAGCAGCCCTTGCAAGTGGGATGTTTTAAGGTTTTTATTTTCTTTTGGTATTGGAATATTTGTTTAATATACTGTAAAAATCTCCTGGTGTCTGTATGAGTAGATGTTCTTTGTCGGTAATTGTGATGGTCTGCAAATCCACTGGAAGCAAGCAACTAATTATGTTTTTGTTTTAAAAAAGAAAAAGTGTTTTTAAAACAGTCATTTGTGTTTTCAAGCATCATTTATTGATGTCATAATGACCAAACTATGTTTATCTAATTGCTTCATTTGTAAAGTATTTATACCATGACTGTGCGTTTATAGACTAAGGGATTACTAGTTATAATTAATCATAGAGATAAATGCTATTGTGTTTGTCATTTTTGCTTTACAGTGGATGTTGATAGCCAGAGAATGGAAAACAAATGTGTTGAATGATTTGCTTTTGGGGAGAAGTCTGGAAAGGAAGCAAAAAATTATTTTCCAGAAATGATTTGGCCTAGCAACCATATATAGCAGTAAGCAATGTGATTACTGTTTAATCAACAGTCATACTTTCAAAGTTTCCCATATTAAAGAATTCAGTTCTTTTCAAACCAAGAAATCTGCTTCTTTTATTCATTAAATTTGGATATGACTATTTTATGAGACATGCATTAGTCATGTTTGGATTTTCTTTACACAGAACCTAGTTATTCCAAATACAACTTCATTATCTTATTGATTACAACAATTTTCAGAGGAATCTTATACAAAGTACATTAAAAACTCAGACCCTTAATTTGGAGCTATTTTTCTGCAATGTTCAGACTAAAACATGTTTATCACCTTCTCATAAATCTTTGTTGGATATAAATAAATAGCCATCCCAGATGAAACTCATACCCTGTTTCCTCGAAAATAAGACCCAACTGGAAAATAAGTCCTAGCATGATTTTTCAGGATGCTCGTAATATAAGCTCTACCCCCCAAATAAATTCCAGTTAAGATTGTCAGCCAGATGGGTGCATTTAGTACCGTATTTCCCCAAAAATAAGACCTAACTAGAAAATAAGCCCTAATGTGTCTATTGGAGCATTCACATAATTACCTGATAGATCTTTAATTGGTACACAAGAGATGACCTCTTTGTGGCAAAAACGGCCATGGTAGTCCCACACTGGGTGCCATCCAAACAAGTCTTGGACATCACAGAAAAACTATGCATTGACAAAATTTCCATCTGTCACTTGTAAAAGGCCACACTGCTTGGATACACACATATATCATACCGATACACAGTGGTGGGATTCAAATAATTTAACAACCAATTCTCTGCCCTAATGACCAGCTGGGTAGTGTGGCTGGCTAGGCATGTGACTGGGTGGGCATGGCCAATTTAACATCATTCACACCGAGGGGCGCTTCTCATGTGAAGTTCCCCTCCCCAAGTAGAAAAAGAAACCATGAGGCAGGAAAAAATCCAAACACACCAGAATGTTTCCTTCCTGCTTTCCTTACAGGATTAGCCGTTTAAAGTGGAAAAAAACAAAAGGAGATTTCTTCCAACAATCAGTTCTCCGACTTGCTTAGAAGGTTAACAACCAGTTCTAGCGAATAGGTGCGAACCAGTTTAATCCCATCACTGATACATTATGATTTCCTTGGTTCTTGGGAAGGACTTGATGCATATGAAGGCCCACACCAACTAAAAAAATGGCAGTTGTGACTTTACATTGTTGTGAACAGATAACAAAAATTTGGGGATGACTCCAACTGCTAAAGTTGTCTCTAATTATTTTTGCCTATCATCATAAGAGAATTCAATATTTCAATATTCATATCATGGCCAGCTACTATTAACATAACAACATCATAGAGATCAGCAATAAATTTCCTATATTCTTGAATTTTTGAACTCCTATGTTTTGTATAACTTGCAGTCATGCTGTATTTTTTTTTCCTCTTCAAATATCAGACCAAACACTTTATTGAGATAGATTTTATGGATAATTATTAGCTACACAATTTTAGGTGCAATTTTTCAAAAAGCATACTTTTTATCTCAGTGTCACTATGTGTAAGCCCAATATTTATTCTTCTCCCACATTTTCTGTGCTGTAACATTCCAATTTTTCTTCAGAACCCCAATGCATGAGATCATTCAAATGTCTTTAAATTTTGCAATGGTTTCCCTTTTTTCATTTCCTAACATTCTAATAGTTGTTTCAGAAGTCATTCAAGAATCCAACCACTTCCTGTGCTGTGTTCATGGTAAGTCATAGAGAAATAGATCGCTTCCAGAAGAATTAAAGTAGCTAGTGAATATTTTCTTTACTTTCAGTTGCAGGCAACAAATTTCATTTTCTTGGCTTTATTTTGTCAGGACCAAGTCCTGAAATCCTGCATGGTTAGATAAACAGGGGAGGCAACACACTTTTGATTGTGTTGAAACATTAATTCTTGATTAAGCAGCTTGAAAGACAAAAATGACAGCCAATTTTTAGAAGGCAGACTCAATAATATCTTCACTATCCAAAACAGGAATACTTCACTAATGGTTAATGTGGTTAATATTCATTGGATAATTCCATGAACTGCTCATCTGTTTGTTTGTTTTTTTAAAAAAACACTTTTTAGCATTCTTTTGTTTTGACATGATTAACAGTTGCTTTTAACTTCTTTTGTAATTCTTGGCAATGTCCTCTCTGAACTAAGAATTAAACAGGAACTGTTTTTATT